TGTTATCAAGAAGAAACATGCCTACTGGAGTTAGGAAATGCTCCTCGTAAAATCATCTGCTCGAGTTGTGCTGGGGCGTGTTATGTAACCTTGGTGTGGGAATCAACTCCTAAAGGTGTAAAATCCGTCCGACAGTAAACCGACTTCATATCGGGAACAAGGTGTTTCAAGAATCTGACTGAAACATCCAAAATGAGACCGCTTGTGAACATACTCTCTTCACTTTGGAGCACAAAGAGAAGATTTTCAACCACATGGAAATCAAATTTGCTAGTCATTGATTCAACCTTGAAATTCTCCCTGGTCTAGGTCTACCGGTGAATACCACCTATCCACGAATCACTTCTCTGGTGAAACATTTCGCTTGAGAGACCGTAGAATAGATACGTCATCTCGCAACACAATCAGTTTTGGATAACCATTCTTTTGTGGACGCAAATCGGGAAAACGGTTTGCTTTATGCTTGTTTTATTAATATTATAACATTTTGGATGCCCCAAAGGGGTGTCCTTGGACCTATTGGTTACGGAATAAGTTGGAGGCGAAGCATTTTTAGTCGCTTTCAGGGACGAGCATCAGTCAGTATGATTTGTGCAATATATCCTGTCATCGCCTACCCAAGCTGATAATATGCTGCTTTGTTGTCATCCTGCTCCATTCTGAGTTGATCCACCGATCCGTCGCTAGTTGCGCATATGTACCGTTTTCATGACTGAACTTTCGGGCCCCGTGTTTAGCGTGTTCATTCTTACGATGCATTACGTCTGGGTTTTCTAGGTAAATTTCAAAAAAATAGCAAACACGTAATATTAATGCCGTATTATCCCAGTGCCAAACCTCTGCCTTCGCTTCACTTTACCACTTCCAATCGTCTGTTGATCCTTCCTTCTATCATTTTCATCTAATTCTGATTGCGCCCCTCCGCCATTATGGTTTCGCTTGGTACTTGCAATTTTCTCCTCGTCACCGTACCATTTTAACTTGTCTATGTTTACGAATTTCTACAGAGGACAACCCTATCGTGGATTGAAAAGGAGCCTGACAATTGTAGACTTTAAAAAAATGAAGAATAAAAATATGATGGAGTAGAAAAAGGAAGAAATGTTTTGTAATCTGTGATTTTATTTTCCCAAGACAATTTCATTCTCAAGTAGTGAATAATGTTGAGATGTTTTGGCATGAATACGAATCTCTGAAAACGAGCTTATTCAGAACTCTGTTGTTTTGTTTGAAATGTGCTATGTGGGACTACTTCGACAAATGTTTTGTTATATGCGTTGACATGATTTTTTGTAATCTTTACAGTGATCGTAATCATAATGGCAGTTGTATAAAATATTAATTTAGTACAACGACCAGAATGTTAGCCAGAAACACGTCTAGCCAGGCCAAGAACACCTCTGTCGAGCGCACCTACTTGTGAATTGATACGAATATAGTGGAACCAACGAATCGAGAAAAAGCGAAGTGGGGCTAGAAATGGCGTACGCTTCAATTTCGCATTGCACCGAAAGTAAAACAAAGTATGTCTAAAACTAGCCAGTCTTAGGTGAAAAAATGGCAGCACAAAATTCCTAAATTGTTTTTCGGGGGGATAGGAAATTACTTTTCTCCCTCCCCACCCCAATGCTGCTCACTTTGTATTCGCGTTTAATGTGTCATCATTGCATTTTGCGTAGTTGAGACAAAAAACAACTGAAACTATGAGATAAATTTGTTTTACATAGTTGATTTAGAGGAAATATGGTTTGAGAAAAACAAACATCTATGCGTTTACAGCATCACATTCTGCGATGTTAGGGCATATCTCTAATTGGGTAGATGCCAGATTGATGTATCGAACTATGAATAGTCTTCCAAAACGCTAGTCAACAGCTGCAGTGGTTCAATCTTATATATCAGAATGCATGGGTTTTCTGTCCCCGTTCCCCAAACAACATCGCAGGGTGTTGGTGTGTTTTCCGAACTGGAAGTCTCATTCGCAGACGTTTCATAGCCAGACTAGGCAACTTCGGGGAAGCGACAGTCCCCAGTGTGACCGGGCTTGTATGGCTCGGTCACACTGAGGACTGGTGCTTCTCCGAAGTTGCACTGATTATGTTACCTAGCCTAGCTGCGAAACGTCTGCGAACAACACTTCCAGCTCCGAAAACACACCAACATCAACATCCACATCTTGAGATACACTCACTCAGCATTATTTCCAACATCTCGGGGTCTTTTTTGTTTGTTTGATCTCCCATACTATGTGATGCAGACTTTCGTGGTTTTATGCAAAATATTTGTCTCCTCGTAGTAGAAATGAATTGTTATCTAAGGACATATGAACTGCTCTTCAGTTTATCCCTACTCTTCTTTCCGTAGGTTTGAAATTCTAGGTGATTTATTCCAGGAAGCTATTCAACTCAGCCTGAGTGCTCTGATGACCCAACACCCTGGTTTGTATTATCAAGAGGCAGCTAGACATGCAATGGCACGTCGCCAGTTGTGTCAAGTATTGTGTACTCAAGCAGCTTCTGTCCCGGTAGATGGAACAATTGGACCGTTAGCAGCCATAGGTGACTCTCCGGCTGCCGTCTCTGGCTCATTGGGCGGTTCGGAGCCCTCTTCTGTCCCGGAAACTTCGCGGATTTCTCCTACAGGAACGGGTATGGAGTTACAACGTGGCAAGAAGTCGAATATAAATACTGCGGTCGAGTTCGTTCGCGCGCAGTCTCCACTGCGATTCACTCGCCGATCACCTAGTACCCCTGCCAGTCCAGTTACTCGGTCACCTCCAAATGCCGGTCAGATAGATGCATCTGCCAACAGTGGAATCTCAGCCACAGAAAAAGTGGACGGTCTGGAATTCTACGGTCAACGACTATGGCGTCAAGGTATCCAAAGCATGGAACCTCCAAACGCAGCGAAAGAACGAGAGGGAATTTTGGCTCTTCAAAAAGCAGAGCTGTCTGTTGATCATTCAGTGAGTCAGCACTCATCAAGTCGAATTATTATTGAAACAAAACGATCTGAGCTATTTGGGTTATCGCAACCTTCATCGATCCGTTCATATGATGATATTATCAAAAAGATGGATAAACAATTTCGTTTTTAACGTGGCTGTCCAATACCTGCCTTGTTCTTCTCAGTTTCACTTGGAACAACCATTAACTAGGCAATTTCATGCGGAGGTTTTGCTTGCTCTATCTCTCCTGGCTACCCATTTGGTTGAGGGACTAGAGGAAGAACTGGCATGCTGGAAGCAGTACCAAAGTAAAGATAAAAGATTCAGGTAAACTAAGGCTGCACACAGTTTGAGAAGCTGCACAAGCACCATTATTTGCGACACTTAGCCATGTCACTCTGTCTCTTGTCATCGATTACACTGATCCTTATATTCCTAAGTGGTGAGCATAACGCGGCTTTTACATGCAAGTCATGGCTTTCATACCTTCATGCGAGGTGTCAGCTTGACCCCTGTTAACTTCCTTCTAGTCACTACCTGCCTGGAAAGACATCGCACACCGATGTAATTTATTTGGTAACACAGGCTTCAGTCAGCGTAATCGAAGGTGGTCGAGCAAGTGCTCTATTAGAAGACCGTATCTATCTACCTAGATTGTAAGTTTTTTATACTTTTCCTATTGTTACCCCAGTTAGAATGACGTTGGGAACCGGACCAACCAAACCTAGGAACCCGATTTCTGTTCCTCTTGTACATTTAAAATCTCATAGGCGGAAGGTGAAATTATCAGTCAAACATTTTATTATTTTCGATATTTTGTGGTTATGTGAGTTCAACCTATAGAGTGAACGTAATTGACTTGTCAAAGGGTCATTTCAATTCACTCGAATCCTGCGATATTTTTATTTGTACTCCAGTCAAAACTATCAGAATGGGATCATATATTCGAATTTCAGCCAATAATGGAAATCTAGTGGCTTAAGCCACTCTCACTAGCTTTGCATAGGTTCAAGAATCGAGCTTCTGCGTTCAAACTCTGCTCTTGTAATCCAACGATATGCAGCCTCACCCGCGTTTAGTGTAATACCATGCCTATCCCACTGAGGCCTTACTTCACTCACCACTTCAAATTCCAGGGCTTCGGTCGCCGCTTCTCAAATCCAAATGCTTGGATCTCGTGACCGTGGGTTCTTAGTTTTCCTACCATCCACCAAAATCCGGTGTGTTAAAACAATGACTGCCATTTTCCAGCTGTGAACGTGAGACTAATCGAGTTTGCAGCTTGTTGCTAACGACCGTAAATATTGTAAATACTAACAGTGTTTTTGGACGACCTCCGACGATATTCATTCATCAGCATTCTGTTACACATCGGAGACAACTGTCTGTGAGAACATATTGTAGTATTAAATGGCTTTATCCATTCCATTATTCAATTGGATCGCAGTTGATAATGTGAAGAAAGAATGGAAAGAACTTGCTAGAGAGACTGACTGAGTAGTAGGTGTTTTGTCGTTTGGTTCAGGTAAAGCACTACATTCAAAATGTTCTCCTGTACAGTTGAACGAATAGAGAAGATCAACTCTTAGTGTATTTTGTAAAGATTTTCTTATGGTATTCAATTTATCCAGGAATTTAGTTTTATACTGCTTCAACAATATGCTCCTGTTGGTGTTAGTGAGTTCTCCCAGCTGGGAGTGTTGTTCGGGGAAGTCGCACTGATGATGTTGCCTATGTTGGCTACAACACTTCAAGCTCGGAAAACTCACCAACACCAACACCAACATCAACATCCGCATCCCGAGCTAAAATCGTTCTACATCATTTCCAATCTGCTCCTGTGCTCTTCTTTTATAGGCCATTATTATTCTGTTGCTGGAACAGACACATTTGCAGTACAAGCGCTATAAAGCGGAGCGAATGAAGCTTTATCCTTGTGAGTTTAACTGAAAACCAACGGTGCATGTATTCCGTAGAGTCCACGTTCTATTATTTGAGTCCTATCACTGTTCACTCTGATTTGCAGTAAATGTCAAGTTTTCTTTACTTATGGCAAGATTTTCTGTGTTCAATTGCCGTGAATCTTTAAACAGCAGAGTACCAAGAAAATAAATGACTTACGCCCCCGTTCCGTTTGCGGTTCGTTTTTTCAGGATGGAGGACTGTTCTCTGAAACTTCTCGGGACTTTCTTAAAGTTTCAGTTGCTTTGATTGGAGTACTTTTCTTTCTGTTATGTTATGTTAGGATATATGTATATATCACAATAAGTAGTATGCGAATGACTGGACAAAGTTTCCCTGGAAGCACACGACCGGTTTCGTGATTCTTGCCGCTCGTCAGATATGCGTATCCGGTAATCTTTTATGAGTTCATTCATATACTTGTACCCAGGAAGTGTATTTTCGTCACAATAACCTTGTTTGCAAAAACTGGTGACTTTTAGATAGACAGCTCTTTCAGAGCCGCTCCATTGAAGAATCAATGCTATGATTCGATGTTTTTGTAAGCTGCTGCTAACCGCAACAAACGTGACTTGATCTTATTTACAAAATATTTCATGATAATTAGTATGTGAATGACTGGACAAAATTTGCCTGGCTTACGAGGAAGATTGGTGCCACATTGTATAGCTCGCCTTTGTTCATCCAGCTACGTATAGGTAAAAATGTGTTCCGTCGCTGGGCCCAATGCAACCTGGGCTTGTCTCAGCAACATTTCGATGGAATACTGTTAGTGTTATTCACTTCACTACTCATCACTAGTCATCGTTGAGTAGTTTCATTCTATCTTCCTATTTTCTATATCCTTGCAAATCCCGCTGTCTACGTTCAATGTGGAGTCGCCAAAAAATGGCGTTCGAGCAACGTTGCATCTCGAACTTTTCTCAATTCACTCAATATAACTCATTTTTTCTCAGGGATATTAATTATATAAAACTTCTTATACTGATTCAAAAGAACACCGATGGTCGGCTTTTGTGTCCAGTTTGCTGAGGTCAAACGCAGCTAACCCACAAAAGCTGAAACCGATCGCCCTAAGGATTCTTCGAGATTCGCTTCACTCTAATCGACTCCATGAGATGCAAATAATGTTTCTGTTGTTTAGCACACCAGTACTTTAATGGCCCAAAATTGAAAAAATATCACAGACTTTCATATGTTACCATATCAATCATTTGACTTAAACCTTTTTAAAAGTGGATTTCATTATTTTCGGGAACGTCATTCTAATACATTTCGTTTTGCAATGTTTCTTTAGGTGTGCTTATGGGTTCCGAGTATTATCGTAAAGGAAATTACGCCAAGGCTCTCAGGTATGTGATAGTTACGCCTTGATTTCTCAATGGAATTGCCGTCACAAAATTTGATTATTCTTTAACAGGGAAACCAACCGGTATTTATCGATACACATATTGGTGAGGGTGGACTCCATTAAAACAAACTTAGCAAATTCAAGAAGCTTTAGTGCCTAACGGGTGCATATTGATTCCATCATGCCTCCAATTTTTCGTAGCACTGGGTATTTATACCACATTTTAATCGTTTAGTTGAGTCAGTAAATGACAATATCCTTATCCACTGTCGAACCGGATGAAGGAATAAACTCACGATTCTAGTCTGTTGGTTTTCAGAAAGTGATAGGAAAGCCAATATGCCCACAGTCATACGTGAATAAATTTCTTGATGGATTTTATTTTGTCTTTTCTTTGATAAAAACGTGAGATTCTTTTATAGGGTATAAGGATGTTGTACCATAAGGTACTTATCGACAAATTTGTTTTCAACCTTTGATTGAATAATGTGAAGTATGTCAGTAATACAGTTTAAAGAGACTTCCAGTACCAATCTTTCTGATATTTTTAAATAAACAACCGAGCCCAATTCCGCTTAAGCACGTCACGATGCATATTCGAACTGCTGGAGACCAAGAATGGTGCGAATTCAACAATATCAAAAACCGCTAAAAGGCGTTGGATAAATACGTAAAACTCGGACCACAAAGAGCAGAAAAAAACGTGATTTGGTGCACTGTAGTGTTGCGCATTACAACCGGGGTGAATCCGAGCATTTGTATGCAACCACTCAGCTTTGCTTACCCCTATTGGGATGTTCCATAAACATATTGCAATTCAACCGCACACAGTCTAAGACATTGTCGACTGTACCCCTTTATTACTTGATTTTTTATTGGTTACGGAATAAGTTGGAGGCGAAGCATTTTTAGTCGCTTTCAGGGACGAGCATCAGTCAGTATGATTTGTGCAATATATCCTGTCATCGCCTACCCAAGCTGATAATATGCTGCTTTGTTGTCATCCTGCTCCATTCTGAGTTGATCCACCGATCCGTCGCTAGTTGCGCATATGTACCGTTTTCATGACTGAACTTTCGGGCCCCGTGTTTAGCGTGTTCATTCTTACGATGCATTACGTCTGGGTTTTCTAGGTAAATTTCAAAAAAATAGCAAACACGTAATATTAATGCCGTATTATCCCAGTGCCAAACCTCTGCCTTCGCTTCACTTTACCACTTCCAATCGTCTGTTGATCCTTCCTTCTATCATTTTCATCTAATTCTGATTGCGCCCCTCCGCCATTATGGTTTCGCTTGGTACTTGCAATTTTCTCCTCGTCACCGTACCATTTTAACTTGTCTATTAGTTTGCAGAGGGGTCTTTGATAGGCGTGCGCATTTACTTGATTGTATTTAAGTCTCTTTCTCTCACCCTTTGGTCTGCACACCCAAGTGCATAGTGGCTTGTGTGTGTATGTGTACTTATTCACAAGGTCAAAGCAATCCACCTCGAATTGACCTAGTTTTTGGGCATGACCTGGTTTCTAGACGAGGCCTACGTAACCAAGGCACCCCTCCCACCATTTCACGACCTACGCTCCTTGCTGCAGTGTAGTATAGGTGAATTGTTTGGCGATTGAGTGGGTGAGGTTATATGGGTAAATAAGTGAGCCACAGTGTACTACAACTCTTCAAGTGCAATTTGTAGTACATGCTGTTAGTTGTGCTTATGTATAGGCGGCTGACTGTTCCTATTCCGCCATGGTCCCACGCGCATGGACGCACGTATCCACGCCCGCACTTACCCGCGCATCCGTGTGGCGCCTCATTGTAAATCAATCTGGGAAGCGTGGTTAGATGAAGCATTGTACATAGTTTTCGAAACGCAAATAATGTCGTTTCTGTTCCTGTTTGCACTTCAGCACTCTGCCCCCTCCCCTCCGATGCCGTTAAATCGTTTGAAGCATGTAAGCTCCAAGACAGCTGTTTCCCAAACTATCAGTCGTTGAGTTCCTCCCCCAACTAGAGCCTGTACCTGGAATTCACCGGATACGCCTTGCCCCATCGTCCGGTCAGAATGTTCGATCTGTGACAAAACCCTCAGTTTAGTTTACGAAATCTACATGCGTTGATTCGTAATACATCGATCACGAGTAATCTCTAACCTCCCGGGTACTAAATTATTTGATCTGGAATAAGCAGGCGAGATTGAACTACCACGAGAAGAACCAGGTAAGTTGCAAGCTTTTTTGTGTACTTTTAGTGCTGGTTTAACCATGTTCGGTATGCGTTTTGCACCTTCAAAATGTGAACTATTGCTAAAAAGCTGGGTTTTTACAGCACCCAACCGCATTCTAACTGCGGAAGTAACAGACTAAGTGTTGTCTGCTCAACCATACCTCGCCCGGTGGACGCATCATAGATGAAGTGTCATCTCGCAAACAGAAGACTCGATAGGTATGTCACTTTGATATATCCGTAGCTTTGCCGCAATATTCGGCTGTACGTAAGGGTCGAGTGTATGCTGCGGCATTTCTTCCAGTCCTGCTATACGGCTTAGAAACTTGACCATTAAGAAGACAGGACAGGTGTTTGAACATCACTGCCTACGCAGCGTTGCACGAATCTGGTGGGGCAGCCGGACGAGCGATGCTGAGGTAAAGCGCAGAGATTAAAATAAATGCGGTCGTCCACTGCAGCAAATGTTCCACCTCCATAGATTTACGTTGGTTGGGACATTTTTCAATTTCTTTGCACCCTTAGTCCACTAAAATTTTCCCTTTTCTCCTCTCTACTTTTAGCTTTCCTTTCTTTCTCCTAATGCTTGATCCAAATGGACAGCCACTAAAACCGGCACATGAAATTCCATGTTTATTGGTCGTACAAATTGAATCTGAAAGGAAGTTTTGTCTCACTTGTTAAGTCCAATGCATAACACTGAGAACTACTGAAACCAGTGGTAGCTGCCAAAATAATTTTTTGTGATTTGAATGGATTTATATTTCATCAAGCTGTGATCAGACTACTATTTAATGTCTGAGAGTTTTTACTCGCTTACTTCAATCGTTAGTCGGTCTGTTCAAGTGAATCGTGGAGTGACGCGGATCTCTGCAGCTTAAATAACTAAAACAACCTTTTCTCGTACTGAACTTGAACACAGAATACAGTGGATTTACTTCGCACAATTTTTATCCGAATATATTTCTCTGTATCTCATCAAGTGCATACTACTGATTATATAATGTGAATGATCACAGCAAATCAACTTTTCACTGAAGTTGAAAGATCGTGTATATTGTGCTAGCGTTCGTTCAGTCCTGATTTATGGTTGTGGGACCCTGAATTTGCGAGTAGACGATCTCCGTCTACTGGGAGTTTTCGATTATCGGTGTTTACGTAGTTTAGCCCATGTTGGATGGAGCGAACGGGTTAGTAACGTGGAGGTAAGCTGTCGTGTGTTTGGGAGTCTATCAGGTATAAACCTGCTGGCACACCGAATTCAAATAACTAGACTTCGCTGGCTAGGGCACGTATTGCGTATGCCCAGCTATCGTCTGCCGCATCGCGCCTTATTCGCTGTAGCTAATCCGGGCTGGAGAAAACCACGTGGAGGTCAACAGCTGACATGGAGACGAGGCATGAAGAAATGCACAGAGCCATTAGGTAGAGTAGGTGTCTCTCGCCTTCCAGGTTGGGGTCCGAAAGACTCCATAATTGGTTGGTTGGAGACATTGAAGGATATGGTAGCGAACCGACAGCAATGGCGTTCTTGTTGTCGTTTCTTATCAGGTCAGAATGCTTGAAGCGGTATGTATGCAGAGTTTGATTGCGCATTATCTGTGTGTTGACCATAGAGGTTCACCTTCTTCCCCCTGCCTCAATATAGATCCAACCCCTGTCCACCTTAAATTTTACCACTAACCTTGTATTTATTGCGAGTTTGGCAGCGATCAGTGGAGTTCACCTCACTGTATTTCGCTGTGCGGTGATGATGATGATCAACCAAATTACAGAAAATATGTTCACAATTGTAGGATTTTTTACCAAGGTAAAGAATAACTCTGTGCTTACACAATCTTGGCTTCCATCTTTGAACCGCAAATCGTTCATGCCGGTAATTTCGTCGGTTATTTGTGATCATTTATGTTACATTTATGTTACACGAATTGTGCAACATATATTTGGTGTATACTTACTTCAACAGTTGTCAGACTAACACACCGCATTATATATAATCACTGGACTGAATAATACTATAGGGAAGGTATAAAACGACAAAAATACGCATTTCATGTTAAATTTTCTGACCAAGGATTTTTGTAGATACAATCTTTTCTCCAATTGTTTTTGGATATTCATCATCCAGTACTGGTTAATTGTCTCTTCCACTGTAACCACTCAATGGTCCATTTACTTCAACGATGTGCCCGAATTTTTAAATACTGTTTATGTTCATAGGTGTCTTTTATGCCTCACATTTAACTGCTGCAAGCAAAGCGAGGTGGTGCTGGTGGCGGCGGAAGGAACGAAGTTAACCTCTCTGTATTTGAATCCGCTGTTGTTTTATAGCCTCAAATGTTCAATACCTTAGTGCGGAACCAAGCCAAAAGAAAGCCATCAATTCCTTAGTCGATTAAACACCTCAACCGTGTTCTGACCCAATATACTCATACCGGCACAGGAAAGGTTCCTCACCTTAAAATGTGAATTTACGACTCTGGTCGCATTGATAAACCTCATCGCAGTGCTGCCTAATTTGGTAAATGTTCTTCGATCTAGTCATGTTCACCTATGCGGAATATCGTAAGCAGGACATGTCAACGCTCCACCGGCGGCCCGAGTCGGAAGTGATATTACCCCATCTTCCGGTGGCGCGACGTTGGGTTGATCTCAGGTATAGCTGGCTTCAGTCGATTTCCCTATTGCACGAGAATGCGGCGATCGAGGAAAAAAGTGGGCGAATTACCGGGTCTCTAGTGCACACGTAGAGACTGTGAGACGCCCGATTCACCGTTTTTAGATGGACAAGATAAAAATAGATTGTTGGTGTTCGAACACCGCTGTCAACGTAGCATTGTACGAGTCTGGTGGGGAAACCGGACGAGCAATGCTGAGGCTAGACGCTAGGTTTTAGGCAGTCGCGGTCGTCCACTGGAATAGGTAGTTGACCTCCATAGATTACGTTGGTTAGGACATGTGCTACGCATGTCACCAGATAGGTTGCCAAGACGAGCGATGCTTGGCGAGGCAGGTAGCGGTTGGAAAAAAAATGAAGGGCAGTCAAGCTAAGACCTGATATGAGGGTATGAAAGCCCTGACCAGAAGATTGGCTCATATAGGTCCCGTTAGGCTCCCTGGCTGAGGACCCAGAGATCATGGTCACCGGTGGTTAGAGGCAATGAGCGATATGACTGGGTGTCGCAAACAGTGGCGCTGGTGCATCCGCTCATTATTCCCTTAACACCATTCTATGTGAATTCTCCATCTTCCGCTTGAATTTGCTTTCAACATTCCAATCTTCTTTCTGCTCTTTTATCAAAATGGGGCACCAAAAGGCAGCAACCAAAACCGGCTCACAAAAGTTCAAGGTTAATGGTTGTAAAAACTGAAACCGAACTTTTAGATGGACCACGATTACAAACCAGAGTACGGTAGAGTAGTTACTGACGAAACACCACGGAAAATATGGGTCGGCCTCTGTTGAGAGACGCGAAGATCGACGCTACATAACTTATGTCACTACATCAATTCACTCCCGACTGGGATCAGCTTAGTTTGAACGTTATAACCTCACCGAAAGTTCCGACTTTTACGAATTCCCCCTCGCTCAAAAATCAAGTGTCCGGGGGCAATGCGATTTTGTCTTTGGTGTACAGAAATGTGGCTGTAGGTGATCTGGATCAATGTGATCAGGTTAACCTTCAGATATCGTGGCTTAGGACATGGTTTATGACAATCACTTGGACCATACATGATGGTTTAACCCCCATCTCGTAGCTCAAGACAGTGAGTGATGTTTTTATGCACGTTTGGGGTCAACTTAGATGAATAGAACCATCAGCGGTCATGTAGCATCAGAAGTTGGATCTTGCAGAATGATGGCGCCAGGTCACCTCGTGATCGGAGCGTGCAGGAGTATAACCTACACCAAAGGATCGTCTCTCTCTCACCTTTGACTAGCTTGCTCGTCGGATCTCAATCCGATGAAAACCGCTGAGAACTTATGGACAGAACAGTAAGGGAGTAGGATATTGCAAACCTCAGGGGTCTGAAGATGGCTTTGAAGAAATAATGAAAAGCAATGTGACAAGGCCACATCCAGTAACACATTACTGATTTGATTTTCAGAGTTGGCGGGGCTGATAAACGTGGGTGTGATATTACATGTTACTATTCAGTGTATGGCTTTTTCATCCTTACCGGTTATCTTGGAATATCGAGGGTTGGAACTTTGGATGAAACTCTGATAAATTTGGCGTCCTTTTTATGCCTTCGATTATAGAAATTTTATTATCTGTATAAGTGGTAAGTCATTACATTAAACCAGGCAACTTAGAAGCCGCTTACAGTGGAAATGAAGTGGTTGTGGAGGAGAAGGATTGGCTGAACCAGCTTTCTGGGGCATACCGTTTACAGCGACTGAAATCGCACATCCAATGTCGCCCTGACTTTAATGTTGCAAACCCGCCATCTCGGACCACAAGTTCATTTCGGATTGTTTCAAAACAACTAAAAAACGTCCGTGACTCTTCTGATTTATACTCTGAAACACAATACGAGGTGATTGAATAATGAAAATTCACCGCGTTTCCCTTCTTAGCTGTTATGCAAGCGTTCTTGGTGACTACCGGCGTGATCATTGGCACGAAATCTACACGTATGTGCTGCGACACATCCTAAAGTGAGTCCTTGCCCCTTGAGTTATTTGGTACGTTACCAAGTAAACAACATGTATATAATTCACTTGCTTTCCAATTTCTCACTTCCCAATATCCAACCAATAACAATGTAAATTATAGCATTTGTTCAAATTGTCTTGAAACTATATATCATATTCTCTTACCGAATATGGCTTTCAGTCCCCCTGTAATCGATTCAGACTTCGAAGCTAATCCAAATAAGCCGCTCATTACATGCTCCTGTGCACCCGCACAGAGGCTTGTTCAAGTGCGTTTTGCACCGTTATTGTTAGAATTACTAATAGAAACTTCCTTTTGGGACCTCGCATATTGATTATTCTTTTAGATACTGTTTAGCTAACCCAATGCCTTGTTCCTTCGTTGTTGGCTCTCAGTCTTCTTCTCTATAGCGCGTAACCGCTATCTTCACTGTTCACGTGAGCATATCAATATGCTGCATACTAATGCACTTGTTGGGACAAATGACCCTCTCGCGTACAACATAAATGGCAAACTGACTCTTCTTATTCATCAATGCCTGACATTATGCTTCNNCCTGCCGATCAGGGAGTAGCCATAAAACAGTGGTAACGAGGTCGCCTCTCTAATCGTTTTGTACTCCTTTATTGACATGTTTGTGTATAACATTCCCGCGTTCTAAATTGTCATAGATACCTTAAGGTTTTCTTGCATCAAAAATGCAAGTTTTTCATCTCATATTAGCTAATCTCAATGGAAATGACGGATGATCCCTATTGTTTCGACCGTCGTAATAGCCCCTACAACAGATTTTCCCCACCCCCAGATTTCCGCTACGCTTCAATGTCTTGGTGCACTTTTGGGATATTCTTTAAACGGCCTTCCTACATCCAACACTGGATGCGTGAGTAAGCCTCGCGTTTGATATCCGACCCACATGGCAGGAGATTGACGTAAGGAAAGTGAGAACATGATCGAAATCTTCGTGCCAGCAGATAAAGGGCAATAAATAACTGTTTCATTCCGTTTGGGACTCGTCAGCAGTACATACTTTTTGTGTTCCTGCCAGGACTCAAACGGCGAACTTTCAGGAGTCGACACCCCTACTCCTGAGCTACCTGGTCGACTTTCATCACCTTGTGCGAATGGCTCAAGCAATATAGACGGTGAAATTTTGAATCAGCCCACTCACAAGCAGCAGCACTGTTGAAAATTTTACCCAAATGTTTAGCGTCCGATGGTTTATTAGCACCTTGCGATCGTCCATTTCTGTGCATAAATCAAAATGTAGCTGTAACAGTAATTCAATTTCCCTACAACAAATAAGTACAAACCAGGTGCCCTACATTGGATTCAGATTTCCTCTCCAACTCTTGTGATGAATCAAACGAAATCTTCGTAAAATGACTTCTACTTTATTCAATTTCAGGTGTGCTTACGTCACCGTGCAGCTAAACACATTTCTCTCCGCCGCAATGGAACTGATCGGTCCAAGTACGTTGCTTCATTTACTCGGTTATACTCGTAATTCTATTGAAATTAGGTTCTAATTTGGTACTTTCTGTGTACAACATAGCTTTAGGATACGTTTCAAAGCAGATGAACGTGAAATTTGTGCTGCAGTTCGAATCATGTTTTTCTTCTGTTTCTGTGACCAACCCCAATAAAGTTTTCCTCATGAGGTCCTTACTAATCAGTGTGACTCCTTTCATATTACACTAACTGCTCACTGGAAGCGCCCCGGCGCATGTGAACAAATGACTGGCTCCTCGCCCCCCCCCTCCGCCCACAGCATGTTATCGATTGCTTCATTCAAACTCCCAGTGTGAGAATAGTCGTGATCCGCGGGCGTATCCGCTTGTGACACGCACTCCGTTCGCGAGTCACAGTAGACCACCACCGCATGCATTAAATATCTTAGTATGCATGGTGGTATTCGGAATTATCTGCCTGACCGTTCGTTACTGGTCAATCCACCATCCATTTATTCTATTTCATACAACAGCCCACATCGGGGGCATAAAAAAGCAAGAAAAAACGATGGTCGATTTACTCGACGTGATACTGTTTCATCTATTTCCATCGATCCAATTTCGTTTACGACCAAGAGTCAACGATCTTTCGGCACTCTTCGTCGACTGTTTACAATCAGTCCACAACTATCAACTACCACACAACGGAAAGATAGAACATATCGATTGGATACACAGGCGGATCCGACTTCACGACAACATCGGCAATGCCCTTTCCCTGTGTCCATCGATCATCGTACTGACTTGAAGTTTGCCACGAGATATAGGAAGATCAATTGGGATCAGGAACAAGATTCGATCGAGGGCATACCTTCTCCGTTCTCACAATTGGAGACCATGTGTTGTCTGCCGTTCGGGGTTTGGCTTCAGCGTACTAAAACCCCGCGAGCACACTCCACTCTTCATTCCCCCACATTGATCCGCTTCTCGGCATCAGAACAACCTGGTAAACTTAAAAGTTGTATTGGAACTATACGCACTCTGAAATCTGTCGCCCAGAGCAGCAATCCAGGCGACAAGTTCCGTTATGCATTTGTGGGCAGTCGACTGGATTTAGACAAGCTTTGTCCTGATCCTGAGGGACATAATCAGGGCTTATTCTCTACCCAATCGTTAGAGAGTTTGATTTTCGATATGATGGAGAAACGAGCCGAGCGCGGTGATGATCTAGAACCAGATCGATTTCATGCCAGCGCGGTGCCACAAATCAGAAACCATTCGCTTCAATCTACTGCTCCCAGTTATCAACTATCTCAGTCTTACACTTCCAAACGGAACGACTCCGTCGACATTTCCTGCTCGCCGCAGGCTGCTCTTTTATCCAATCCCACGTCACACAGGAAGCGTTGGGTTTAACCTCTGTCACGACATTCCCGAATGTTCAAAACTGTTCAAAACTAGATGCCTCGTATACACCACGATCGGATTCGTATCATCATGTATATGAACTTTTGTTTTTATTCACATTCCATAAG